TTAACAATATTGTAGTGATTACACCTATGTATAGGAACAGATATACAGACGCTGTTGACTGTATACTTCTAAATTATCAATAGTCTTTTGGCGGCTCCGACTGTATAATTTTAAGTAATATAATGCCTAATTATCCGTCTTCATAAGATATGATACAGGAGGCTACTGCTATTTGACCCATCGCGCTGCTTTGACCAGTCAATTGAACAAGCCATTACAGCCACTCTGGCTCCTGGAGGCCTTAGGAAACGTGATATGTCAAAATATGGAATGACAATATGAATTAGAATGTGGGTTTTTAATATCGCACAAGCATCTGGGTATCGCCGAATTTTCTTCTATCGTACAACCTCGCCGAGGAATAAGGAATCCCCGAACGGATAACGGCGCGAGAGCCCGACTCGAGGATCACGGACGCGGAGGGGGAAGGCGTGTAACTCCGGAGGCCAGGCGCCGCCCGGGGCCCTGCGACGGCCGCGGCGCGGGGAAGAATTAACTTATTGAATTCGGAAGAAAGCGGAGAAGCCGCGCGGCCCTGCCAGAGCCAGAGGGGGTGGGGGCTGCCACGACGAAGTGAAGAAAAGTTAAGTCGACGGAGTACAGAAAACAAGAGAGAGTTTCTTCTTGCCAGACTTCCTCCCTAAGTAGGGCGGAGGTCGGCGCCGGCGACGCGCCGGCCGCGGAGGGAAAAACTGAATCGTAATTAGAGTTGGCCTCTGTAGGAAAGGTAAATAGAAGAAGGGGCCAGACAGCCCCGCGCGTCCGGACAAACTTGAGCGGACAGACTGCGCAAATGGCGTGCGTCTCGCGTTCGGAGGAGAGCGACGCCGTGGAGAATGTGTCAAACGGAAATGGAAGCACGGGATCTGAATATGAATTACTCTGTAGAGTAGGGCTCGAACAGACTTCTAATTGAGAAGAATTTTCGTATGTAGAAATGAAGGATCCTTTCGTTACGTTTTTGCGAAATGGAGAAACACAAGTAGAGTACGTTTGGTGAAAAAGTCGCTCTTTTTTTAAACGAACCGAAGTGTTAAAGATTATGAAAAAATGTGTATTCTCAAGCAATTTTAAGTAGATAATGTAATTAAATTTACGCAATTTCGTCTCTAATCAAAGGACGTAATAAGGTTCGTGTCTGTACAACGAGAAGAGCTTCGACAACACGAGCAAGGGACAGTGAATGTACGATGAGGAAGTTCAAAGGGCAGTGTAAGCGACTTGCCATGTAGACACAGTGACTAGAAAAGCTTTCTCGTGCGTGGATCGGTATCTACAAAAGGGGAGCGAAGGAAGGAAAGGCCTTGCCGTGAGTGAGAAATTTACGGTGTACAACGGACTTGCACCTCTCTGCACGACACATTTGCAGTGACGCATGGGCTTTGTAGTTCTGTGTGGCTAAGTATAGTATCATCATGTTTGTTTATTTGTTCTTTCTTTGTTTTCTCGTATGCGCTGCACTAAGCTACTGTGTTTGACGTATGTTTTTTTTCTGAGTATTTGCAAAGCAATAGAGATAAATCCTAAGTAAATTATGAATAAATTGTAAATTTTTCATGGATAGCTCTCAGTTTAATTTACAATTATTATATTTAAACAACAGATCAATTCAATAATTATAAAATGATTTTGGCATGTTAATATATTACAATTGCTTCTTGAAAGTAAGTTACTTCTTTAATGGTAAATTGATAATATATGGTAATATACAGCTTCATCGCCTCTTCTTCCATCCGGTTTTTAGAAACGGAATATTTTTCTTACAAATCAAAGTAATCCGGCTATCCCGTAACACTGCCAACCTCTATCCTTGACCAGTGACCAATAGATTTCATTTAAATAATTTTTTTCACTCTTCATAGAGAAAAATAGGCCGGTCTCCAAGGATTTTAAACTTTTTAAGCAGTATACTCATTACATGTCTTAAGTTTTCACTTTGAACAGTGCATGAACGGATCGGCATAGCCTGCAATAGGCGCATTTGATGGAGAATGCCCTGCGTCTGTCCATTCAGGCTCACATTCTTCTTTATCTGGTTTGCATTTTAACAGACGCATACTGTAACGTCTCAATTGTCAGACTGAGATTCGTTATCGACTTCCTGTCAACCGTTTGTTCTTACGAGAAACCACAGTCTTTTTCAACAACAAAAATTAAAATTTAGTAGCATGTAACCGTCTTGCAGGATCACAACTTACGAGTATATCAAAACCTATCAACTTCCCCAAATATTACGACGTTATCTCTGGTAATATCTTAAGGAAATCATGCGTACCATTGCGTACCACCCACAATCCGCGAAACTGAGAAGTCCTCGACTTTCGGCTTTACCGAAAGAAGTCGACTTTTCATGACTTCAAGAGGCGTTTTGCTTGCTTATCAAGGGTCAACTAATATGATATTATCTTACTAAGTAAAGACACATCGGTCACCTGCACGAAAAGTAACACAAATCAAAAGATTTAAATTCTACAGGAAAAGCAAAAGAAAATTAACGGTTTCTTTCTGCACTATAAACGCAACAACTGCATCATTGTCTAGAAAAAAGTTACTGTTTAATCGTTTAAGATTTTAATAACTAGAAAATTTGTGAATCATTAATTATTGTTTCGTCACTCAAGGCTTATCGAATGTTTACAAAAAAATAGTAACCATCTCAAAGCCTACGGGGAAACTCCAGATTTCCCTTTCAGAAAGTCGTGCCAATAAAAACTATGCAAACTTATTTTAGTATCAGTTGATGTAGATACCCATTGAGCAATAGCAGAAACATAAAAAATGTTGAACTAGTTACTCAAAAATCCAAACTGTGCATGACTTTTCTCTGGAAATGAAAAGAAAATAAGGGCGTTCCAGTTCCCGAGATAAAATAGATGGGGTTTGTATATTGGAAATCTGATACTGCAAAACAAGGTGAAGATACAGGAGATTGAATTGGAGAACATTGTAGTAGCTGAATGGGGCGTCGCCGACGCTTTACTCTTTTAAATAAATATTCATATGTCGAAGATTTCTACTGCGCAACATCTAAAATAAAATAACATTTAAAAATATTGTTTTCTGTTTTTATATTCCCACGTACGTTAAAATTATTTATTAACCATATTTTATAAACGCACCCTGTACCAAACATTATTACCAAAGATCTGGCAGACTACTTTGGGTAAAAATAAAGAAGAACTCGTTTTTACAATGAAACACTAAATGAATGGATTGAAATGTTAGATATGGAGTTACAAAATACATCTGAAAGGGTTTTATAAATGCGCCTAAGTCACTTGACTGTCACAGCAAAGGCTTGGTGCTGTCCACACATGGCTTTTGAAAAGTCTCCACCTCGTCACGCGACCTTCGTTATGATCGTCATCGTCCCATTATGATTTCGTAATGTTCGGAACAAAACTTGAATGCCACAAGATAAAGATTTTGTATTCATTATTTACAATATTAGCAAATAAAGAACCAAAAATATTACTGACATAACTACAAAGCTGTAGTCTATTGGACGACGCGTGTTAAAAGAGCATAAACCGGAAATAAGCACGCGCAAAACGATACTTGTATTTTACTGGCTAGTCATTCAACGAAGGTACACAGAGTTTCTGAAACGGGGAGTGAGGAGAAGGGGGAGGGGCAACGTCTGTCAGACAACGCCATTGCAATCTAGAGTTAAGAATTAAAATTCAATAATAAAAAATACAACAAATGGTATCGCATTCCTGCATGTCTTGGGGGATACGGACTCTACCTACTTCAAAATACGGTACTCTAGAACAAATATTGAACATTTCCAGAACAGTTGTTCTAAATAATACTACATTCCTTCAGTGTTTTATCGGGTGTTTTGTTAAAACAAAAAAAAAATATTTCCAAGCTCATATTCTTGATCATACCGTTTCATCAATATATATTTATATTGGGACATATTTTCGTAGTTGAAATTATCATTTAAGTTTGAATTATCCCATTATAATGAACGTATATGTTACACATAACAAATAGAGAAAACGATAATTACCCTGTCGCGATTTGGCATTCGGTATATCGTGATATGCTGAAGCCAGTGGGTTAGCAAGTTGTCAATTCCCGACGTCAGTTGTTCAAAGGCTATTAAAAGGCGAGGATTTTGCCCCTCGGTATTCTTCTTTTTGTGTTACCACCAGTGATACCGGAGGCACGTGTCGCGCCGCCACCTACCCTGGAAGAAGGCTTCGCTACATGAAAAGTCACTATAAATTCTGTAAACCACGGTCTTTTTCACCTTCCATGCGTTGGTGGGTGCTCCCTTTCACCAAAACTCGCGACAACCCTGCAGAGGGGAAACTGTTACGAAGAACCCTTTTCTTCAAAGCGATCCGATTCCTTCACCGCCTACTGTAAATTGTGGTGTCCGGGCAATAGAATTTCGAGCGATCTATGCTATTTGAGTATTTGCCAATGTCCCAGTATGAGAGAGAGAGAGAGGGTTTCCGCGGCCGGAATCAGCAGTCACTTGGCTTTTCGGGAGACGCCGCTTACTAGGCCCAGATGTCAACGTTCCAGCTGCCATTGTGTGACCTTCTTCAGGTCAAAATGCAAGCCTGCCTTTTTTTCGAAAATTGTATAAAGCCAACATTTTAAAACTACAAAATTGAAGTTTGGCACTTTTGCCCAAGGGAAAGTCTGTTGTATAAAACCTTATTTAAAAAATGTCATGCACAATTTCTTGAAAAGATGAGCAGTTTGTGAGTAATTTGTGCTTGAGGTTTATGCAATTTCTAAGAAAATCACTTTCTCAAAAATCGCTCCAAATTTTTACTTCAAATTTCTTACACTGACAGAAGAAACAACGGTAATAATAAAGGCGCGGGTCTCATTTTCGTTGAATTCTAAGAATTTTCTGAAATTGCAAATTTAGAGATAATGCAAGAAGATTTGTTGTAGCACCTAGTTTCTAATTTGTATCGGGTAGTCATTCTGCAATAAATGAAAGAATGTGAGCACCGGATGGTTCTTACCTGACAAGGCGGCTCGGGTGGAAGGCAGCCGGGTTGTCCTGGTTGGAAAAGCGCGGAAGGGAACCCTGCAGAAGGGCTAGTCGGAAAACTAGGAGCACGCTCAACTGCAAACAGAAACAGAACAACTAATTTACTCCATTGTTTTCATTTTTAATCTATCTTGACAAAATTGTAAATGAAATTTGACAGTAAAAGTATATTTTATAACTGATTCATGTTGTGGATTGCATAAATACAGTATTTTAACGTTTTTGCAGAAATAATTTTTTTTATTAGTGCGTACTGAGAAGTTAGTTTATAACCGATTATGTTATTCTATATATTTATTTATATATTCGGTAAATTGATGAAAACCCTTAATTTTAATAAAACAAAAACATGGGTTTTCTGCAACATGCCTTTGTTTTTTTACAATATAATGAAAATTATGATGATTGTATCCGTCCACTGCAATTTTAAACATTTTCAAATTTTCTTGCCCTACAAAAATGTCCATGGTATTAAATGGATTATCATTTATACAACAGTTCGAAATGAATAATTAATTAATTCACCAGCAGATCATTCACAATGCCGACTATCAATCCATCATTAAATCCTGTCAGCGGTTTTTGGTCCCAAAGGGAGAATTTATTTCAGCTCATGAGTGAACTTTTACCAACATAACCACAAATCCATATTTGTACAGCGTTTTTTAAAGAAGATATCATCCATCATACTACGTTAGGTCATTATTTTTATTAAAGTTGGAATTATTACACACGTTTGGATATTGCTTTTGTTCACCAAACTCATTTTAATTTGAATAAATAAACTCTATTTGTATGACCTTGTTAGATACAAGAACATGTGGAGATATTCATATGCAAAAATACCTAATCAACAAAACTTAACAGTACCCGCTAATCTGACTTGAATACTAATTGAATTACATTTTGTAGAGAAGTGTCTTTTACAATATTAATTGAAGATATACTTATTTTAATATGTTAATATCAAATGTACACGTAAACTTCCGCGGCTCGAATTCATAAATTCTCGGCTATCCGGGAGACGCCGCGTCGTTGGCTGGGGTGCCGACGTTTCGCCTGACACGTCGCAGGCTTCCTCACGGCAGTGAGGACGCAATGAGGGCAGCGGCACTGCCCTAAGGAAGCCTGCGTCATGTCAGGCGAAACGTGCGCACCCCAGCCAACGACGCGGCGTCTCCCGGATAGCCGAGAATTTATGTTAATATCAAACTGAAATGCCGTATGATGCCGGATATTAATTTTTCGCAAAACATTAACAAGGAAGTTTTCCTATTCCCGCGCCATTTTGCAACTTCTAGTATTTTTGGGTGACTAAGGATAAATATTAGAAACATATAGGGTGTACAAATAAGAAAACGATAATTTTCCTCCAATTAACGCATGAAGGGAAATTTTATTTAACAAAGTTACACACGCCAATCCGGCAGGCAGTATGCAGTAGCGCCGCACCGACCTAGGGTCGAAGGACCAAGAGTTCGAACCTCCCCTCGGACATTGTTGTATTTGTGTTCGTCTTATCCACCCCATCACCATCATATCATTTCACATAATTCACAGTTTCCCATAACGTCAAAACCAATAGTGGCCGCTAATGGCATAGATGTTGATGCGACCTTATGTACCCCCCCCCCAAAAAAAGAAGTTACACGCGTGATATATGCCCCTGAACGCTAGGCAACCTGTATATACAAATTCACTGCAGGTTCATGAAATTACCTTAACTACATCAGAACGTGGCCGCATAAAGTGTTATCTAGGCTATTCGGGACGAGCCGCGTCACTGACGCGGTGGCTAGCATTTCGGCCAGCGTATTGTGGCCTTCTTCAGAGCATACTACAAAAAGTGTTGTTGCTTGTGACACGGAGGAAATGTCATTAATGCACTGATGAGCCAAAAATTCTGGTACATCCAAGCTTATTGAAATAAAGAGATCTGGAATTAACCAGAATACGGCGCACCGGTCGGCAATGAGTATATAAGAAAACCGGAGTCTATGAGAAAACCGAAAACAGTTGTTAGATCAGTTACTGCTGCTACAATGTCACGTTATCACGATTTAAGTGAGTTTGAACGTGATGTTAGGTTCGGATCAAGATAGATGAGGCATAACATCTTTGAGATCGCGATAAAATTTAGATTTTCCCGTACGACCATTTCACGAGTGTACCGTGAGTACCGAGAATCCGGTAAAACATCAAACCTCCGGCATCTCTGTGACCGCAAAAAAATCATGCAAAAACGGGACCGACGACGACTGAGGAGAATCATTACACGTGGCAACAGTGCAACCCTTCCGCAAATTGCTGCAAATTTCAATGTCATGCCATCAGCGTGGAAACCATTCAAAGAGACATTATTGTTATGGGGTTTTGGAGACGAAGGCTCTCTCATTTACCCTTGATGACTGGGCGACACAAAGCTTTACGCCTCGCCTGAGCCCGTCTACACCGACATTGGACTGTTGATGTCTGGAAACACTTTGCCTGGTCTGGCGAGTCTCGTTTCACATTGTTTCGAGTGGATGGACGTATGGCAACAACCTCATGAATCCATGATCCCTACATGTCGACAAGGGACTGTTCAAGCTGGTGAAGGCTCTGTGATGGTATGGGGAGTGTGCAGTTGAAGTTATATGGAATCCCTGATACGTCTAAATACGATTCTGGCAGGTGACACGTACGTAAGCATCCTGTCTCATCACCTGTATTCATTCATGTCCATTGTGCATCCCGAAGGACATGGGCATTTCCAGCAGAACAATGCGACAGACTACACGTCCAGAATTGCTACAGAGTGGCTCCAGGAACACTGTTCTATATTTAAATATTTCTACATGATACTAAAATTCTCAGACATGAATATAATTAGCATATAATTACCTCCAGCACTACTTCATAAATTAGTCGACTCCATGCCACGTCGTGTTGCGGCATTTCTGCGTGCTTGTGGGGTCCCTACATGATATTAGGCACGAAACATGAGCATTTATACCTTTTTTATAGAATGAAAAACATGTTTCTAACTTATAAAGGTACAAGTATAGATGAAGAAAAAGTGGCACTTACGAACAGTTACATTACAGAACCGCTTGTAAAATAAGAACCTATGTATTTTTGATGACTGTTCGAATTATTTTAATATATCTTGTACTCTTAATATATTCAAATACATTAAATGATGATCAACTTAAAAAGGTAGAAATAAAGATACCATGAATCCAGCGCGCTCAAACTTAGCCACAGTGTCTCCCAATTTCTAACTTACAAAACTTTTTTCTAAGTCACATATGTAGATTTTTTAAAATTTGTTTCCATTGTTTGAACAATAATTTCCTAACAATATTTTTATCATTTTCTTTCATTCTGTATTCACAAAAGGAAATAAGATGTTGCAAACATTTTTTTCTCGACTTTGATTACGCTAATACAGCACCAAACTGCACTATAAAGATTCCCGAATACACCATTTTGAAGTCAAGAATTTTCCATTTAGAGCTGCACTTTGGATCCCTGGAAATAATTCTTTAATACTTCAAGCTCCCTCTTTTTTTTACGATTCTGGCGGAGGTTCGTTAGAAGTGAAGAAGAACAAAATCCACGGAATGGGGGGTTTGAAATATGTGTCCCGGCTTCACTAAAAGCTTCTTGACTCCCAAGATGATAAATCGAGTTAACAAAAGCGAGAGCTTTTTCCCGCGCCTGCGTACAAACACACTTCCTTGACGAACGCCGCGCCGAAGGGAACAAAGCCGGCCGTGAAAGAGCAGCGAGCGCGCCCTGGCGGCAATCGCACTATGACTTTGAGCGCTTGTTACAAAGAGAAAGAAGCCGCTCGTTAGATTAATTCCCTCGGCCGCCCGGGGCGAGGAGGCTGGGGCGAGGAGCGTAATCCGTCCGCGTAAACGGCAAAGACGTGCGCGCAACTTGTCGCTGCTTTGATGAGTGTGTTTACTGCCGAAACTTTGCTTTCTGCAGCGACGGACTTTGCATGGACGAGGAGATTTTCTTTGCTTCTTTCTTACGTCGTTACCGCAGGAATGAAGCTGTTTTTAAAGCCCGTCATCGAAATAGGTTGATGGTGCAAATTATTTACACATTTTGAGAACTCATTTTAAGACTAAAGGAAGAAACATTGACGTCAGTTAGTGAATAATATTTTTTTACTACGTGTATGTATCATCTTGAGATATTTCGTCTAGTTTCACTAAACGATTTTGAAAACATTCGTCAAAATAAATTTTTATACAATTCTTCTTGCCATCGCAAGAAGAAAACATAACGAAATATTTTGTCGAAAAATTGAAGTATTCTGCCCCATCATTACAATACTTTTTTTGTACTATGAAATGTATGTACTATGTATATGCGAAAATTTTTAAATGAACTGCTTTACTCTGATAAGGAGGGTAAAATGACTCAGAATTTAATAATTTTATATTCTCCTAGGAATTTATGTAATATACAGAAAGTATTCTAAAGCTTCTGGAGAATTCGGTAATTTTTCGACCAAAAAATTCATATGGTAGGGCTCTAGTATCGAAAAAGTGGATAAATCTTGTTTCTATACGTAGTAAATTATTTCATGTATCACGGTGAGTGGTCAAATTCCACGATTTGTGAGTCCTTGACATTGAACAATTGTTTGACCGCAAAACGTGCGTTTGTCTCTCCGTCTGTGGCCATCGTCAACCAATAAACCATTGAAACGATTTTCCCCGCAAGATATTTCCCAATATATCCAAACAAGCTCATTAATAAAGATATTTTTACCCTTCGAAGGATCTAGCGGGCGGTATAAATGCCGCCATTGAAGATGAATCGGCCTTGCGTGTTGATGTTTGAACTAAACATGATGGGAAGCCAGGTATTCTCTAGTTATCTAATGAGACCCAAAATAGCAGTAACGTTTTCTCCGGAACCCCCTCACATTTGCGCCAAATTTTCCAGAAGGAGTAAAGAAGGGTTAAAATTGGACTTATCGCATTTCTCTAAATCTCTAAATTGTAAATAATTACATATGTTAGATTTTCTGTGAATACGTGTATATGTTTAAAATCATTCACTGTAAAATA